GTATTCGGGAAAGTGTCCAAATGCATATCTTCCATCAAAAATGCCCATCCCCGTACACAACGAACAGCATTGCGAACGGCATTTAGCTATGCTCCTTAGATCTCATGCAACGCTGCGCAGGAGATACTGACGTTGCACAGAATTGTGCGGATAATTTGCACCTAATAATTGTGTCACAATCAAAATATGAACCATCAACTTACACTAGGACTCAAAGCGACAGTCGGGTGACTGCTTGGGTTTCGCTGCAGACCGTCTTACACCGTCAATTTGGTGAAGTACAACGGCGCGTTCCGCTTGCCTGGTTGGCATTTGAGTGAAAGTGTATCCACAGGTGGGTCGTATTTAATTTTGACTACTCCAGTTTTCAGATAACTCAGGTTTTCTTGAGAAAAAACCACAAACCCGGTCACCACCACAGTGCCACCGAGAAATAAGCTCATTTCTGCTGAAAAGTAAGCCTGTCACGGGCTAACTTTACTCCAGGCAGCATGAGTCCGTCGAGCACATGAGAGGCCAGACCGGGGTCCATGATTAAAATATGATGCATATACACTGGTATCTTGGATGTAATTCTGATATATCCCTGTCCGATCGACCTTCTTCCACTTCAATATAAAAAGGCAATACAACTTTACCCTTGATACGCAGATACGCCACTGCACTGATGTAATCAGGGCAGCCGATTTGTTAGCGGTTACTATGATACGGATGACTCGCTGCCGCCTTGTGCCTGAATTACACGTAATAGCTAGGTTGTCCAACTAGTTAGCTTCCTCGATATTCTAATTAGGGTGCACCTTTTTATCCTCAGTGTGAACTGCATGCATCGACAGCAGTTCAATGACCCCTAAAGAATAGGTCGATAGCATTATACCCTCGGGGTGTATTTGGTGAGTCTTGCACTCCATCACTTCTACTCATTCTATGGAAATGATTATAAGAGTATCGTGTAAATTCAAACATAAGCTTGGTTTTAAGGCCTACTGGACAGCTGAGCTAGCTCATCGTCAGAGTCAAGCGCAAACCGCAGCAGTTGTGCGGAACGAGTCGACTCAAGACCACCTGGAGTAGTGTGATTGATAAATTGCCTCTATTCCGAAAAAGAAGGGAACAATCTACTACAGACAACCGGCTTTGTGAAAACAGAATAAATCTGCTGCTTAGAACAGTGATGTGAAGTAACATATCTTAGTAAGCTGCTTCAAACGAGGAGCAGACATGCCATCGAGGTGAGAAACTTGTTAAAAGCCCAATTTTACGGTTAATTATCTCTACAATTCGGCTATAAACTGTTCATGCTGAGATTTTATGCATGTTGGCATGAGCTTACTATGGCGTAATCAGGATGACCCGTCAGTCAGTCGTCTGTCATGTGATATTTGTACAGTGGAATAGGCGGGAACTGTTGCGATTGATAAGATAAAAGCCATGACGTAGCGGCCAGTTAGCAAAGAGCTCAGCTCATGATAACTATTTCTTTTCCAGGTCTGCGGACGGAATATAGGAGTCGAATCATGTGGGCATTTCTTTTGGATTTCACTGAGGAACTTATAGTCTGTAAGCTGGCCGTACCTACTAGTAAGCTGGTAATGGTAGCTCGGGTGTATTAGATGGTAGTTGATCAGGTGGATGTTGATCTGTTCGCCCAGCTTGGCAATTGCTTTGCAAACGTTTCGTCACCATTCGAGGAGACATCTTCAGTGCACTGTTGGTTGGGTAGTTCCTCTCTTCGTGCCTGCGTTTATATAATCTAAAAGGAGCAGCCTTTGCGCTGTAGCCCGGATTCTGGTTGATCCGATCTTAAACTGCGTTGAGTTGTGGTTTGTATTTCTTGCTTCCTACAGCCACGCTACTGTTGAAATTGCCGTCCATTGTTGTCTCTTTCGGTTGGCCCGTTCTTGATCTGTATTGCGTCGTGACCAGCTTCTCGGTTGGTCTGTAGCGTACCTCCTATTTTTAGTAGTTTGCTCTTCTATTGATTTCTTCTTTGAGTCCTTGTTTGGCCTCGGGTTCTGTGGTTCTGGATTTCCTTTGTCCTCAGAGGCTGGTAGGCAGGATCAATCTCAATGCGCCTGTTTATTGCTCCATCAGTGGAGTACCACGCCTCCATGAACTCGCGTTCTTTCCTTGTTCTTGCCTGGCCCAGTATTCTGACGTTATTCCAATCGAAATGGTGTCCTTCTCCATCTTCGTGTGCAGAGATGAGGGAGGGTTGGTCATGTTTCCTGGTGGCGAGCTTGTGTTCGTTGATTCTGGTTGACAGTTTCCTGATGGGATATGCTAACTGACAAACCCGGATCAAACTCAGATAAAAATTTATTTAAAACTTTATCATGCTGGAAATAAAACTGAGCATCACGGTGAGTGCTTTGTATACTACACAGAATAGTTCCTGAATTTTTGGACTTCTTACTAGCAGAGTTCTAAGTGGAGCAGAATGCACCGGCTTAAACGCCAAAGTAAAAGGCTTTAAGTTGTTTTATTCAGACTGAATGCTTTAGTTATCTTATCTGTCTTGTCTTGCCTTGATCTTATCCTGACGCATCTTCGTTGAAGGAACCTCTGCAATGTCGGTTTCACCGAGTATGCTAGTCCTCACAATGCTACCCCTCAGCTCTCATAACTCTCTGGCTTACTTTGGACTTCTGACGAATGGATACAACCCCGCTGTTCCACTCCCAATTTCTTATATAACTCTCAAATGCACATAATCTTGAAGCATGGTTGTTACACGGTTGTTACATGCGAAAAGATATCATTTCTTCGAAACATAGAGTCTCTGTTGGTCCCTCATTACCACCAGTATGGTTTACTTCTGAAAAGCGTGGTCACAAACATAAAATGGGTAGAAAGTTACAGATTCGGGCGTGCAATTATTAGTTGTATCGGTCAAGTGTGATAGTCCCTGAAACAGGTAAGGATGTTTGACTTGGAAGCACATTTGTGGAGACCAGAAACTGAAGATGTTATTCAAGTTCCAGCAAGCGCTAGCAGGATCAAGACACGAACATCGGGCAGATTTACATCATACTGAGTAAGATGTGAAGTTTGTGGCCAAGAAAGAGCATTTGTTGCTATGTAGAGCGTATAAAATCGACGTAAACCCGAAGAGAATCCGAAATGGCAAACAGGAACAAGCCGCTGACTGTACCTGAGGAAGATAGTTACCATCAGAAGCCCTAGCGAATCAGTGAAAGCGGATATCCTGATATGAAAGCATCGTCGGTTGGCGAACTAAAAAGTGAGATTTTAACGAGGAGACAATAGCCATCATCGTGGTTCTACTTCTTCTCACTTAACACAAGCATTCCGCGCCCACTGGGACAATGCTTACGTGTGTCACAGTTGCTCGGTGCTCCCGAACGGCAATCAGGTCAGGGTTGATGAAAGGCATCAGGATAAGTGCTGTCAGCTGCGCAAAGGAGACTAGTTCGTTACGTCCCCGTGCGTATCTTTTTGCTCATGCTGTTTGAAGACACCTCGCTCAGCTAATGGGTATTAAAATGGTCATGCAAAACAGAACGTCGTTCTCCACAATACTTACTCGTTATCATGAGTCCTCCACACCTCTACAATTTAGCCTCGATACAAATTAGCCGCGTGACTAATGTTCCTGAATTCATAAGGAAAGCATGTAACTTCACATAAACTCGTTGTGTCCGAGATGGAGTTTCACCATACGCTTCGTATGCGTATCGTTCGTCTGATCAACAACTCTTGAACATCTAACGGTTCTCAAGAAGACCAATGGTTACGGTGATCATTATCACAAACTGAAGCACTTAGTAGCCCTGGGCTACGATTCACCATTGCACATCCTTGCATCTTCTATTGAGGTAGACTAGAAGCTTCATGCTCTGACATCTATTTGGCCAATGCTTACCGTTTAACCTCAGCTGTCCGCGACTTCATGCCAAAAACTGAAGTAGCTAAACATTTTTGGCTCACGAAGTGATCTTCAAAAAACCACGGATTTTGTTGATCTTGTTCAAGGTTTTGACCTTGTTTTCTTGTGTTTCAGTGAGTGATATTGTGATTACCACGTAAATAATATCCGGACATCTGTCACATTCATGACTAACCTTTGACGGATCCACACTAACCAAGAAGAGCGCATTTACAGTCGATTTCGTCTTCGGGCTTTCCCAATCATCGTACGGATCTCCATGGTATGAAGATCCTTTCCAGAGAATCACCTTGATTGGACTGTCTTACTGCACAGTAAATAAAGTATTTATATTTATCTCGTGATACCATCAGTCGGTTTCTGCATATTCATTCTTGACTGCTCAACCTTTCTGCACCCATTTCGCTGTGGTCTGATCCTGCCAAAGCGGACACTTCACAATACACACTAATGGGTCACCAGTCACATTTGGGTTTTGTCGTACGTCAAACTTCCACTGGTAAAGAATAACTAATGGTCTACTTCACTGCTTGCGTATGTGAGATTATGGAGCTCACTGACAAATACTTCCAGTACAATCTGAAAGCCTAGACTCCTAAGTCATTTTTGTGCGCCCGTCTGTAGTGTTTCGTGCTTGGGTTATTTTTTCCAAAGGCTTTATGCTACTTCTAGGGCTGCTACAGTGACCCGTTCGCAAAGCTGTGCTTTTTTCCGCACGTGCGCTAAGACCCCGAAACAAACTGGGGTGGCAGTTTGATTCACCTCATTGTCTGAGGGATTTCACTTGACTAAATGTCAGGCGGACTGTCAAATATGATTGCCAGAATTTCCCCTCGAGAATCCACTTCCGACGCATGCGTTTTCCGTGCATACCACCCCAGACCTACAGCATGTTCCTGTATGGAAAACATCCTACATCACTGGACGTTATTGCGTCCGGATAGAACTGTACAAGAAGCTGAGCTTCGGCTCTTCTGAGGTTCAATCAGCTCTTCGATTCTTTTGACTAGTTCTGGGGGCGAGATGGCCCAAGTGGTTAGAGCGCGAATTTACTGATCGGAAGGTCCGTGGTTCGAATCCGACTTCCGCCTCACGACTTTCCCTGTCTAGGCTTGGGCAACCTGGCAGTATCCCAGTCCTCGTGCTTCCTTCGGGTGGCATGGCAGCTAGGCACCGGAAGGGTGCTACAGCTGAACGCTTTCTTTCTTCTTTCTTTGACTAGCTCTGGTCGCTGAATTCGATACCGTTTTGTGGTTACACAGACGGGCGGCTCAGGTAACTTTGGCGGGAAATTAATACATTTCACAACAGTGCAATAAATGTAAATGTATAAATAACCCGTTATGGTCGAGGAATTTTCAGCAACCTTATGAGTAGTGCATAACAAAAACACCGTTATGGTTTTGTTTCCTCCACTCCAGCCCAAACTTTCTTAGTTTCAGTAATGCGTGTCTCGGTCACGTAAGCAGCTCTGCGTCAAACCGCGCAACCAATTAGCGGCCTTGATCATCCCAGTGACGTTCAAAACAGCCTTCATAATTCTGCAACGTTCACGGCTGTAAGCGAAACTTGTGGGTGGACTTGTGCTAGTGAAGTGGCTGCACATGTATATGAATCTGAGCATATCTGACAAAACTTGGAGGCAAGTAATATAGAAGAAAAGTTATACTACGCAACCAGTACTGGAACAAGAGATGATGGATTGATGTCCCCCGTCAGTTCTGCGAACACTGTTCTTCCAGCAGGGGTCTATGCAATGCAGATCATCTGTATCTCCGTTATATACCACTGAGGGACTGCGCGAAATTTCAAGGTACCTAAATAATTAATTATTCAACAATAAGCGACACCTAAATCCAGTACATGTGAAATCTTGAGGAATTTACACTCTACTCTTCACGCTTTGCAAACATACCCACTTCCTATCCAAAGCGATAAAACGCTCAAGTCTGAAGAGCCAAATCAATACCTACAAGTATGTACTTCATGTGATATTCTGTTCCTTTCATTTCTACCGGCAAACAATCACTTAAAATAATATTAAAAATAGTGTGCCTGGTTAATACTCGGGCTATGTGAAGTTGACATGTTAAATAGCTGAGTGTCGAATAAAGAATTTGATTCTTTTAAAGCTATTGACCTTTAATCAGAAGTCGTTTATCGATCGGTTCACTTTCGATCGAAATCTTGCACACAGACAGACAAATCCGAAAGGCGCTCAAGTTGGGTGAAGGGCTTGCGGAACACGCAGTAGTGAACAAATGCATGCGTAATCACCAAAACACGAATTTCGGAGGGCAACAACAACAAGCTGACGGTGTTTAGCGAGACCTAATCCGTTATTTGCGTCACAGGTAAACAGGAAACAAAACAAACTAAATAACTGCAAGAAAAATGCATCTAGTTAGCTACCGGAAAATGCGTATATCTCGAATTCCTTTGTTAAAATGTCTGTCTTCTGAATATGGAGGTCACTGAGGGCCACAACAAGGTGAAACGCTGGCACTAGGGCACGGAAGTCGACCTTTCCCTAACTTTGAATTTCGAACTCCAGAATCTCTCCGAATTTGACGAAATACACTCATTTGCAAACTAATTTGGGTTTGCGAGAGACTCATCTGGAACCCAGCTGAATCTATCGTCTGTGATGTTTCCAGGCATTACGAAGATACAGCAGTCGAAGAATTTTCAGCAACCTTGTGACTAGTGCCTTTTGAATTTAGTTGTCAACTCTGTTTAATCAAGTCAAGTCTGTTTTATCCTAAAATAAAAATTCTGTAGGTTATCCTAAAAGCATTTTTACAGTAGTTGACGCACAATAAAACTCCTATTGTGAAATTTTGCACAACAAGATGGATACAGATGAAATGCAGTTTAAAATGTACAAAAACTGCTTGTTGTTTCACGCACTGCGAAATAAATTTCGGGTGTAAACTGAACCAGATGCACGTAAACTGATGCTCCGTAACATGGTTTTTGGAATCCCAGAGTGTATTTTCTGTGCTATCTAAACTAGCCCATACAGTCATCTCACGCTGCAAAACTGAGCCGATGGGACTGAGGTACTGCTGCGCTCTTGAGGCCCAAAGCACGTAAGTTCATCATAACAACTGGTGTTACCACAACTGCGAGCTCTATTGACCAATAGGTGTGGGAACAGCCTTCGGTTGCTTTCTTAGAAGTCAAGTGGAAAGCGAAATCAACGAACCGGAAACGAAGTAAGACTGATCAGCAGAGGTAGATCCTATTAGCGCTTTGTATTAGCACTCTGATTTTGGTCACTTTGACGTAACGAGCAATTCAAACGCCGCAGCAAAATCCCAACCGCAGTCATCACGCTCAAAACTTTCATCTGCGGACTCCAGCGCTACAAACAGCCAGCAGTCTTGAATCAATTAACACGTTTGGCCATTGAATTCTAAGTCGTGGTCAAATTCTAAACCCCCCTAGTTCGGAACATCCCCTAAATACAATTGTTATTGCGTACAAACTAGGTTATTGGACTGTGTTTCGGGTCACCTACGGATTGTTTTTCGATAGCTCTTCCCATCACCGAAGGCAGAATGAAAACAATGAATTGCGTCATCATTGAATGTCAGAATCTAATCAACGCATTACCCAAAACAAGTACTGTCTGCCATATGCGCCGTAAGTAAACTTCAGTAGCCTTCAGAAATGAGGCACAGCAAGTCCACTTTGACCGATATTCTGTAAAAGCTTGCAATAAACTTTTGTGGCCTTTTGGTTTGCCTCCCTCACACCCAATACCTCAGCAACAGTGTTTTGACGAGTAGAGATTTATGACCAGAAGACTTAACACCCACTCCCAAGTAATTCGCCCTTAATCCACTAGGTATACCATGTAAGGGACTTCTGAGTAAATTTTACTCCTTTTCACTGGGCTTTTCAGGGCGAGGAACGATACACTTGGAGAAAATATTAGGACTAGACGCCGAAGAGGTGTATCCTTCCCTCGTGTTGCAAAGCCAATGTACCAGAAAGTTTCATTCACAACCTGAGTACCTAGAAACTCCCTCTGAGCCTCATTAGGAGAAACCTCCAGGTAAATTGTCTCAAGGTGTGAAAACATTTGAAGAACTGATGCTACTTTAGCGCACACACTTGTTCAGTAGTATGATGACCATCGAATTCCCCCGGCACAGCAGTTTCTAACATGTTCCGCACACTTCCCTTGAAGGTTCTGGAAGGGTCAAATGGGGTTCATGTTTGAAACAAAATCATTGAATTCGGATAACTTCTGTACACTAAAAGTGGACGATCAACCCTGAAAACACCAATCACCACGCATTTGAACCGTTTGTTGTTTTACCTGGCACACTGTGTTAGTTGTCCCGCGAACATCCAGTTTTTTTCACATTACACCCAAGCCTTCTGTCGACCGTGTCACTTTTCGTCTGTTGCTTCAAGAACAAGAAACAGCACCCAGACACTGATTCTCATTCGTAATTTTGAAAGAAAACGCTAGGCATACGTTGATTTTGAACGAGCTATCACCTGTTGCCACAGACAAAAGCGTTAAAATTTTATCGATTACACCGAGGCAGACATGGTAAAGCGACCGGCATGACAGACAGGTCAAAGGTCATCCGCCGTAGTTGAATGTCTCAGCTAAGCGGGAGCTAAGATTTGGTGTGCTTTAGGATCAGACTGGAGGTGAGTAACTTCAGTCCGGTTCAATGACAGAGTCTCACGAATTTCTTTTGTGAACACATTAGGGGAGTGGGAAGCCGGATGCTAAAAGCTCCAACACTTGTGAGATGATGTGGCCTGACGGCTTAGGACTGGTTATGTACATTCGGATAATCGATTCCAAGTACTGTCTTAATTGACTGCATGCCCGGATTGGCCACAGTGAAACTCTGATTCACCGTACTCAACTATAAGTGTTCTTTGGACCGAAAAGTGCGCTGCCAGTAGGTGACAACACACACCAATTTGACTTGATCAGAACTATAGAAAAGGTTTAAAAAAACGTTAATTTGCGCATATCCCTCAGTCCTGGAGACTTGAGAAGTGGGATAGCAATTTAGAAGCCACCAGGAGTGTGGACTCTAATTTGCGGAGGAACCACTGTCGACTGCCATAAATCCATTCACCTATGAAAGCGAGTATTAGGAGTGGGTGCTTGGATTCGGATGGCTCTGCTACCTTTGAGTCGATTCTGTCTTTCAGTTTTCATGGGAGGAAATGCAGAATAAAGAAGTCTACCTATCATACATACCATTTACCACCTTACAATCGAAAAATCTAGGGTGTAAAATGAAAAGATTTGCCTAAAATTGCTACTTTTCAGAGGGAAAGTTACTCTATTAGGACTCTATGGGAAGACAGTTGTCATAATAGACTTACAGAATGGGATCAGAACCGCAGCGACAAGGACAGTCGAATCCCAACAGCTGTTGCTCATGTTTTATCTTGAATGTGGACAAACAGCCTCCATATAGGAAACTACTCACAAGGTTGCTGAAAACTCTTCGACAGCCCACGACCGGTTTCGCCCATCTTAGGGCTGGTCAGGTAGGCGCAATTCCCCAGTTTCCGTCAACCTTATGTTCTACTTTGGACTTCGGATTGTTTTCGAGAAATACACTCATTTGCAAATCAATTTAGTTTTCACAAGAGACTCAACTGAATCTCTCGTTTATGATATTCTGCAACTGAATGTGCGCGCCTACCTGATAGACCCCAAGAAGGGCGAAACAGGTCGTGGGCTGTCCAAGAGTTTTCAGCAACCTTGTGATTAGTTTTCTCTATGGAAATATAATGGGATATTTCGCATATCGTGCCAACTGAATCATGAGGCGGCCTGTGTGCAGCACATTCAGTTGTAGAATATCACATACGAGAGATTCAGTTGAGCCTCTCGTGATAACCAAATTGATCTGCAATGAGTGTATTTCTCGAAAACAGTCTCCGTGTTTACTGAACTACAGTGTCCACACTCAGGCTGTGGAATTTACACCCTCCCTGTCAAATTCCACGCCCACAGAATAATGACTTGGTGAACTTTGGACCAAAAGATCCAGGTCAAACCGTAGGAGAGCTGTGCCAAAGGACGCCTGCGTGAATTTCTTCTGTGTCCTGCAAACTGGCCCAGCCAAAACAACCCACAAACGATCGAAGAAAACACTTTTTGCACCGCGTGCATTATTACTGCGCAATACACTATTTTCGGTAAGGCAGTCAAAAGTGACAACAAACACCCTCGTCAAATGAATTTTACTGGAGGAATGCTACAGACAGGGAAGGTTGGTCCACGGAAAAATACACCGATGGTGAAGAAGCGTCAGGCTGTTACAAAATGTTCGTAGCAGTTCAGTACTGCGCGTGAAAAGCCGTAATCCTGTTCTCTCCGGAACCGAATGACCTCTCCCTTGACGAAAACGGTGTTTCATTTGGCTGAACAAGAACTGCGACGAATTGGAGAGTAAATCTTTTAAGACTTTAGTATTCAAATTAAATTCATTTCCTGTACTGCCGAGAGAATTTGACATTTCTTCAGTCTCACGAAAGACGGAATTACGTAGTACTTTGAAATACATGCGAACTATACATCGAAGTTTCGGTCAAAGTCCATAATAGAAGACCGATACATGAACCACTGTCGCGACCAATCAGAAACATTAATTCCTTGAAGGTATAGGCTGCAGAGTTCACTTCTTTGTGAACTGTAGTGACCAGTTTTATTTCCAGGATCAACCGGATAGAAAACGGTTTTGACATCGTGCCACCGCTTCGAGCAAATGAACCTTTCATTCTATGAACTGAAAACGACACCCTCAAAAAGCCTTGGTTGGTGGAAGTGGACTCAAATCCAGACCAGTTCTTCAAATCACGTAGCATATTTGTTGAACAAGTTTATGCAAATGAAGCAATTAAGAGTTTCGTGCATGAGAGACAATTGTGAGTAAACAACGAGTATTTCGTCTGCACCACTGCTAATTCCTATGCATGATTCGTGGTTAAAAAGGCTGCCGAAACATTTGTGCAGCTGGCAGCTTCAGAGGGTTGTTGAAATAGTTGAGTGTTCCACGTTTGTGCCGGTTAGATTGTCATGGGATTGCAGTGTGCAAAAATTTCCTCCTCAGCTGTAGCACCCTTCCGGGGTCTACCTGTCATGCCACCCGAAGGTTGCACGAGGGCTGGGATACTGCAGGGTTGTCCAAGCTTAGACAGGAGAAGTCGAGAGGCAGAGGTGGGGTTCGAACCACAGACCTTCCGATCAGTAAATTCGCGCTCTAACCACCTGGGCAATCTTGCCCCTCACCTCACTTAGCTAGATTTTGGTTGGGGATACTGAATCACTGTTGAGGTTCCCGATACGGAACTTTGAGTGACGCGTAGGTTCGACAATCTCGAATGTCAAAAGGAAGAATTGGGTTCGTAATTCTACGGTACTATTTACAGAAGGGTAAACAAAGGTGTACAACAAACCTCAAGTGTTCACGTTCGTAGCGTCAACAAGTTCACAGGTCTGTCATTGACCGGCACAGTATAGTGTAAACGTCCGCACACCAACCAACGGCGAGCGGAACGATGGCTCAGCAGCGTGGGTTGCGGTATTTCCTTCCGATGACGGTCTCGTGTTTCTCATTGGACGTGCGATCTCGCGGAACCCATGAGAAAACAAGTCAAGGCAGGCTCAGCAAACGGGACATGAACGCACATGGGTAAGTAGGTCAGCAGCGTACACTCACACAGACACACATGCCAATGTACAAGTATCGGAAAGGACGGCCTCTTCGGCAAGGTGAGTGGCGGGGACGAATAAGCAAAACAACTGGAGGGCGGAGTAAGCAAATGAATGGGGGAATTCACATTAGGTCAAGTTAGATTCAACACTTATATCGAAAAGAATGGTAGCCATATCAGCTGTTCATTCCGGTTAGTCAAACGGTAAACGACATGGGATTCCCCCAGCGTTGTAATTAACATTGACAACTTAGTCCGTTGTATTCTTTAATCCTAATGTGTTTCGTGTTTTTTTTCAGACTGTTCTGCTCCCTAGAGCAACGGGTCGTGGTACGGATAGATTCTCCCGAACTCGTATTGTTTCGACTTCGACGTTTCTCCGTGGGTACCTTTGCCCATGTTACTTTCAGGCCGATGTGTTTGCACCCAACGGTATCCGTTTGCTCATACCACATGATGAACACGCGGTAGAAGCCGGCAAAATCACATCTTCGAAGCAGATACGGCCAACTAATGTATGTGGATCGGAGGCTTAACCACAAGTGAATACGCCGATTCGTTTACTCAATGGACTAGGAACTTGATATATCTTCTTCAAAGAAGCACATTTGTTGTAGCATGGACATGTTTACCAACTTATAACACTGAACAATTAAGATGAACTACAAACTCATCGTTTATGTCATCAGTATGTACTATCATATCAATCAAAGACAAGGGATAGAGGTTTGAACAGAATGAGATGGTGCGCTTGTGGTTTGACGCAACCACTGGTAAAACAAGTGTGACAACTTCCGTCACAGTAATATTGAGTAAACCTTTTTCTTGATGGACGATGGGCTCAAAATAAAAAACGGACCAACAGGTGGAGAAGAAGAATACGGGTGTGTCCTTATAAGGAGCGACGATATAAAGTGACAACGTTTTACGACGAATTGAATGGATATATTGTTTTGTTTATGTATTTGAGTTTGAAGGCCCGAAGTTTTCGTTTCTGCTGTTATAGTGAGTACACGCTATTCCTGGTCTTTCAAGAACTTATCGACTCTACCTCCAACTGATGATGATTGGTTAATCGATAAATTATCACTGTTCGTAATAAACTCAACGACACTGTTAGTAGGCAGCGGTTTTTCCGGTATATGAGTAGACATTCGAAGGTGTTAAGGTGTAGATAGCTGGGCAAACACTTCCTATTCCAGTGATAATCTAACTCAGTCCCGCTCATCCGGGAACTCAGGGCGAAAAGTCTTTCTCGAACTTTCTGCGGTGATACTGGAAAGGATTCTGTTTAGAATAGCTGAGGGACCCGGAAATTGCAGCATACATACACACCTAACACCTAAGTGCTTCTCCATAGCGGAACTGGTAGGAATATCAGCTGAGAAGTGGTTTGTAGTGAACTCTGATGTTTGTTTCAGTAGACCCTAAGGTTCCTTCCGGCCAAAAATGTTCCCCCACCCACTTGTAGAAAAGATTTCGCAGGATAGGTCTCCTAACTGCCTCCGCTAGTGAAGATTCAGTACAATTGTCCGTACCTTAGTGAAACAATTGCTCAGCAAAAATCACGCCCTCAGAATGGACGAGCCCTCGCAAGGAATTATGTTTGGTTGGATACTTTTGGTGGCTTCCTTCTAGATGAATAACGGGATGTCAACCACAACCACTCGGCTTGGAAACGCCTCGATCTGCTTCGTATTGCTTAACTCAGTAAGCTGGTTTCAGCCTCCGTCAGCTGCCAATGTTGATCGGTTTACGCGGAAAATCGCTCACGAGCTCAATTTCCAAACAAGAGCCAAGGTGGGTGGATTTTACCAAATCCGCTACCCACGCGATCATTTCTTTTGGTCCCCTCTGGCGGACTAGTGAACAGGTCCTAAGAACAAGCCCATAATCATACACATCCTTGGGCCAACACGGTGCGACGATAAGCAAATCGATTAAAGCACTGCCAGAAAACGGCAGCTGCGCATAGCTCGCAACAATGAAACACACGGTGACTCATCTTGTTTGGAACAGCACTGTATTCATACGCCGTTTCGTGGTAGGCTGTCAAAGCAACACTGTCTGTGTGACCTTGTGGTTCTTCAAGTGACTGTCACTTGCCTGACTGTGTCCGGCTCAACAAGCTGCGAAAGTTTGGTCTTCAGACAGCCACCACATCAAGCATACTGACTAATTCTGGTGGCACTCGCTCACAGGTACTTATGCAGAAGTCTCATATGATGTTGGTTAGGTATCCAAAAACCAAATAACTAGATGAACTGCAAAGCTTAATTTCTTGTAAATTCTTTATGCCCATAAAGGCAAACGGCCTTTCCTACAACTTCCTCATTAGTGCTCTATTTTCACTTGACCAGAGCTTGAATATAGGATGAAAGGTTAGGGTGAGCATACCCAAAATTATCGGATGATTATTTCGTTAAATACCGGCACATATAATGAAGTAGTCAATGATACATTCTCTAACCACCGGTCTAGCAAAAGCAGAACGAACATAGATCTGTTGGTAATTGATCAGGTGGCTGTTGATCTGTTCGCCGAGCTTGGCAATTGATTTGCACACGTTTCGTCACCATTCGAGGAGACATCTTCAGTGCGCTGTTGGTTGTCTCCTCGAATGGTGACGAAACGTTTGCAAATCAGTTGCCAAGCTCGGCGAACAGATCAACAGCCACCTGATCAATTACCAACAGATCTATGTTCGTTCTGCTTTTGCTAGACCGGTGGTTAGAATAGATCTAGCCCAATGGAGTGGATCTACCATCCACAAAGACAGATATGCAAGGGTTCCCTTGGATTGCTGACCGGTGAAAAACCACAAGATACGGAATAAGGATCGTTGGGTAGTAAACATAACGTTTCCACCACTGTGGGTGACCTTCGACAGGAGCATAATATA